AACAAACAACCTAGCTCATCAAGCCGTTAGACAAGCAACCTAGCTCATCAAGCCGGTTAGACAAATAAAAACCCCTAGCCCCATCAAACCGTTAGAACAGCAACCTAGCTCATCAAGCCTGTTAAGTACAAGCAACCTAGGTCATCAAGCCGTTAGGAACAAACACACTAGCCTCCAATTCTTCTTCGCCATCTTTTCCGAGATATTGCTTACCAAACAATGCATAGCGCCCAGAGCTAGAGTAAGCGAGAGAGAAAGAGAGGGATTGAGAGATAGCGAGAGATAAAGAGAATTAAGAAAATAATGAGGGATCAGAGAAGGAGAGAGTCTTCTGTAGTTGTCATAACCCTTGAAAAGGCAATCCATTAATAGAATTTCACAGCTGACAAAGCTGATTAGTCTAGACATTGTCGTTCTTGTGGGCAATAGTTAATAGAATCAGCCGAACTGTTTCTGGCGACGATTGGCCATCTCTCCACACAGATGACAGGACATTTCCACCACGTCGCATTGCTAGACTAATCAATGTTTACCTGTGGCTTTAATCGTTACCTATATATATTACAAACTTACGTGAACAATCAATTGATTCATGTAAATATAGGATTGTTACTTTTACCGAAATGACGTTCAGTTTTGGTAAATTCCTTTGTTACGTGATTATAATCGTTGTTAGTATAAGGATGTTTTTAAAATCTAAGTTGAAAATAAAGCTGAGGGAACATCTTTTTCTTCTTCTATACGTTCTCTTTTACCGCTTAGGATGTTGAGGGAGATATAAGGTCGTCTGGCTGTTTCGACCATAGACACATCGTGATGCTGTAGAGTTTCTCTGATGTTGTCTTCCCATTTTTTTCTTGGTCTGCCTCTTGCTCTACGTCCCTCTCCTCTTTTGGTATATGCCTTGTGTGGCTTAGCATCAGAAAGCATTTTCTCCTAGTGAGCAAACCATATGATTTGTTGTCTGTATGTGTCATTTAGAATTGGTTGAGTGCCGAATTGATCTCGTATGACCTAATTCCTGATTGTATCTCTTCCGGTCACTCTTACAGTCTTTCTCAGACATTTCATTTCTATGGTTACTAATTTACGTTTTTGATTTGTTTGCGCGTGAAAACGTCTGGCACTGATAGCATTGGATGGGAATAAATATGCTTTGCATGGCATGTTTCTTTGTGCTGATTGGGGTTGCCTTATGCTGTAAAAAAAAAAGGGGGGGGGGGAGGGAGGGAGGGTTGCCTCATCGGATATCGATTTCTTCATTCAATTTACCATCTTCAAAGAATGTTATTTCAAGATACTTAAAATCTGACGCCTGATTAAAATATGAATGTTCTAATGCGATATTTAAATTCTGCTTCTTTCTTCCTATTGACCTTACATCTGTCTTTTCGATCTTGATTCTTACAGTATTTGATTAACATTTTTCACTCATTGATGAGAGATGTTTCTGCACATTCATGACTGTATCTGTAATCAAGACCTGGTTATCAGCACAAAGTAATTCGTTGATGTTACTATTATTTTCGTTCCTTGGCCTGGCAACCTTGCTTATATTGTCAGTGTAGGTGATTGACTAAAGTGGTGATAAGACACACCCTTGTCTTATTCCAGATGTTACTTTAAAACGTTTAGATGTTCCCTGATCTATTCTACCTACGCTTCCTCAATCTCCGTATAAGCTTTTGCAAAACTTCAATGAGGTGTTCACTTACTCCCTATGAAGCCATTACCTTCCATAATTTTTGTCTATCGACCCTGTCGAAAGCTTGTTCCTGGTCTACAAATGCTACAAAACAAGTTCTGATCTAATTCGATGATCTCTTTTCTTCTATGAACTGTTAAAGTGTGAAGATTGCATCTGTGCAGCTTCCATTTCATCTGAAACTTATCTGTTCTTTTGTCAACTTTTGTTCTTTCACTGGTCGCAGTCTCGTTTCTGTTATTTTAGCATAATCTATAATTTCCCCACAGTACACACTAGGTCGCTTCTGATTGGTTGACCTCCAGTCACCCGACCCTCGCACACTGCTAGGGGGGTGTTAGACAATCCGTTGACATCGCGTGTTGTACATTTAACCACGCCACCGCTTTTAACACTACAAAAACATTTACAAAAATGGGTCTAACCAATAACCCCCCCCCCCCCCTCTCTCTCTCTCTCTCTCTCTCTCTCTCTCTCTCTCTCCTAGAGAGTGATGCAACCTATGTCACAGGTTTTTTTTTTTTTTTGAATAAAAACGTAAATGCAAGACAAGCCAGAAAGTTATCAACATAGCCATAACCCTCCAGACAACAGGCTAGTCTAAAATAGCTATCAATGAACCGTGACCTAGTTCGGCCTGGTGGTGGGGGGGGGGGTTATAGTAGATCAAACCTATTTTTCCAACATGTTGTAAAAGAGAGACGTTTCGATATTGACTGCATTCTGGCTTACTTTCCTTGTGTTCTTCCACAATGGTACAACGATTACACCTTTCCAGTCAATGGGAGCAGTTTGTTGTACCCATGCCGCATTGAATATTCTATGGAGCCATCTAATGTTGCTTTCACTTGCTGCTTGGATTATTTCTGTTGGTAATCTATCAACACCTGCTGCTTTATATGGGGGTGACTACATGACTAACTACTTCAGTAATTAGTATGTCAGGCTCTAGCATTGTTGCTTTGTAGTCTTTGGCTGTTCTTTGCTGGCAATCTCCTAAGGGGTTAAAGAGCTCACTGAAGTATTCTCTCCATCTGTCAGCTATCTCTGATGGGTCTATTCATAGTTTTCCTGTTCATAAGGAAACATCACAAGACTGTTGAGTCTCACCCACATCGTGTCAGTAAATGTTTTCCTGACCACCAGTGTCGTGTGTTCTGTGGGAGTGGACACGTATGCAGTTAACTTTGTATCCTAGGACGAACTAGCCTCAAATGGGTGACAGATACTACAGGGAAATATCCGGTCTACATAATATAATTGATGTTGGGTATGCTGGTCTCTTCGAATAAAGGGGTACCACCAAAAACCGAATTAATGCGTGAACAATAGCCAGTGCTACTACTGCTGAGTGCAATTACTTACACGATGCTTACATCCTGTAATATGCAAAGATTCATAAACCTATTATAACAAATGAAAAATAGAAGCTGCATTCCCTGTTGAGTAAACCAGTAGACCTCGCCTGGGACAATGAACACACATGTATAACCTATGATGCCATTTCTCAGGGCGCCATTGTTGCAATCAAGCCAGTCGACAGAGGATGTGCTACAATTCACAAACCACTCTTGCTGGAAATCAAACGGGTATGTATCTCGTATTCTCCTACACCGACTACGTGTTCACTTCATTTATTTGTCCAGGTACCCGTACGTATAACTTTTTCAGTATTCATATGTCAGAAGTGTGTCAATACGCCTACTTTTTTCTAGTTAGTATTGATAATATTATGTGAGACACCAAATGCAAAATACCTAACCTCCAGTTATGGACTGTTAACAGTTTAAATGTTCACACATCTTGAGGTACATCTCTGATTGTTGTTTTGGGTAAAAATGTTATATTGTTACTGTCATAATAATGATGGTACTCAATTCAAGTGTGTGTAATACAAATGTACAAACACGTTTACATCTTGCTTTGTGAACTGGTTATATTATTTCAGGTTCAGAAACCCATGCAGTGAGTTGGCAATTAGAAAGTCAGATTGCGTCATAAGAGATGTTCCTGTAAGCAGAAAGAGATCGCATTTCATACAAACTATGATAACGAAATGCAAGACTATTGAGATACTGGGAACTCTTCACCCAGAGGAAAGACTGGCCTGACAAATAATCACCTGTAACTCTCATTTGGCTGCTGAAGATAAGAATGAAGCGCATATGGGAATTCCTGAGTACAATGTTGTGGATTACTGGCTCAGCTCAACCCAATTCTGAGAGATCTGGAATAAAAATAGTTTTGTTGAAATAAAGTTTATGGCGCGACATGAGATTTTCTCTCAAGTGGGCAAACCATTTGATTTGTCTATGTAATTTAGAATTGGTTATAAACCAATGTAAACCAATGTTTTCTCTTATGACTTACCTTCTGCTTTTATCCCTTCTGGTCACTCATGCAGCCCTTCTCAGACATCTCATTTCTGTCCTTACCTATTCGTGTTCGTGCTTCCCCGTCAGGGAATATTTATTTGTGTTGATCTTGATTGTCTTATGCTTTAGGGGTGGGGGAACTAGCTGCCCTATTACGTGGGTTGGTTTAGTGTATCGGATGTTAATTTTTTCATCTTCTTGTCCATCTCTGGCGAATGTTGTTCCCATATATTTTAACTCGGATGCCTCCTAATGCCTTTGCACTCTACTGCTATATTCAATTTCTGCTTCCTTGCATTGATATCCAGTTTCGTCCTTTTAAGGACGAAATTTTTTGTTTTTTTGAAGCCCCACCCTGGCTTTTGCCAGGGGCCGCAATATAGGCAAGCCATAAATATGGCCAATTCTCTGAAGGCGGTTTCTGGGACCTCTACACGGCGATCCTCCTCCACATGGTGGCACTTTGTGTCATCGGGGTTTTATAGCTTGTGTCATATCCTAGTGGGGTAGAAAGTCAGTCAGTCAGTCTGCTTCCTTGTTCTTGTCTTTTTAGTGTTGATTCTCGTATTATTTGTCGACAATCTGATTGATAGATGTTAGATTCGGCTGAAGTTTCATGGTTGAATCTGCGTTTTAGACCTGGTCATTAACAATGAGTAATTCGTTGATCATACAAATATTTCAAGACCATAGTGGACGGACATGTTGGGAGCAGACGATTACAAAGTAGCCTGTGGTATAAGCTAAAAGATAACACCAAAAGACGAACTTAAGTCTTAGAGTGTACAACCAGGATGACAGTCGCAGAGTGATAGCTATCTTTTGCAACGTACTTTCATTTAACTGCTCTGAATGGAGTGGGGTTTTTACACAATTGCTCACACTAAATCAGATATTTAGTCGCTGTGTACGTTGTTACACAGATTGTCTCAGTTACTGTGTACATTCTTACACAGATTGTCTTAGTTACTGTGTACATTGTTACACAGATTGTCTCAGTTAGGGTGTACATTGTTACACATATTGTCTCAGTTATTGTGTACATTCTTACACAGATTGTCTCAGTTACTGTGTACATTGTTACACAGATTGTCTCAGTTATTGTGTACATTCTTACACAGATTGTCTCAGTTACGGTGTACGTTGTTACACAGATTGTCTCAGTTACTGTGTACATTCTTACACAGATTGTCTCAGTTATTGTGTACATTCTTACACAGATTGTCTCAGTTACGGTGTACGTTGTTACACAGATTGTCTCAGTTACTGTGTACATTGTTACACATATTGTCTCAGTTATTGTGTACATTCTTACACAGATTGTCTCAGTTACGGTGTACGTTGTTACACAGATTGTCTCAGTTACTGTGTACATTCTTACACAGATTGTCTCAGTTACTGTGTACACTGTTACACAGATTGTCTCAGTTAGGGTGTACATTGTTACACATATTGTCTCAGTTACTGTGTACATTGTAGCTCAGATTGTGACAATTAATGTGTACATTGTAGCTCAGATTGTGACAAGTAATGTGTACATTGTAGCTCAGATTGTGACAAGTAATGTGTACATGGTAGCTCAGATTGTGACAAATAATGTGTACATGGTAGCTCAGATTGTGACAAATAATGTGTACATGGTAGCTGGGATTGTTTCAAGTAATGTGTACATGGTGGCTTAGATTGTGACAAATAATGTGTACATTGTAGCTCAGATTGTGACAAATAATGTGTACATGGTGGCTCAGATTGTGACAAGTAATGTGTACATGGTGGCTTAGATTGTGACAAGTAATGTGTACATGGTGGCTTAGATTGTGACAAGTAATGTGTACATGGTGGCTCAGATTGTGACAAGTAATGTGTACATGGTGGCTTAGATTGTGACAAGTAATGTGTACATGGTGGCTGAGATTGTGACAAGTAATGTGTACATGGTAGCTCAGATTGTGACAAATAATGTGTACATGGTGGCTCAGATTGTGACAAGTAATGTGTACATTGTAGCTCAGATTGTGACAAATAATGTGTACATGGTGGCTCAGATTGTGACAAATAATGTGTACATGGTGGCTCAGATTGTTACAAATAATGTGTACATTGTAGCTCAGATTGTGTCATTTTAGCTCAGAATTGTGAGATATTCTGTGCTTGTGTACAATACAGGGTTGCTCAGATTGTGTCAAACAATGTTACCTGTAAGCTCATATTGTGTTAGCTCAAATTGTTAAGTAAAAGCTGTTTATTTGTGATTATTTTCGTATTTTCCATCTCACAGTGCAAGTATCACAGGAGTACACAGTCATGCAAATGATTATGTACAAGATATAAAATACTAGCTAGAGAATACCAGCTTTAGTAAATGAGGCCACATAACTGACATTAGGTTCCTCTTCTGTGTGGCTGCTTATAACCCTGATGCCTTTACTTGTGTAATCAAAGGATGCTTTCCCACACCTACAATTGGTCTTTTTTCAAAGAGATGATTACTGAGCTATCCAACCGTCCTGTGGTGTTCTTTGGAAAACAAAATTATTGTTCCAAGCCTCAAAATGAATGGCAGATAAATAAAGAGAGACAAAAGACTGCAGTACATGGGAATCACCTTTGACAGAAACTTGTCTTTCAAGGACCACATAGAGGTGGTTGTGTCAACGGCCCAAAAAGGTCCTAATGCACTAAAGATTATGGCAGTCATGGACATGGAGCAGTGCATGCTGTTAATCATCTCAGTAATTGATTATGGACTGGGCTTGCCCCCTGTCTCGAAGATTCAGTTAGTGAAACTGGAGCGCACACAGAATGAAGCTATGTGGGTGATCCTGGGATGTACAAAAGACACTTTGATTGTGTGCATGCGATACATCATTGCATTGTAGACTATTTCAAATAGGCTAAAGGTGCTGCGGGCTAAATCTTCAAAGTAGCTGCAGTTTTTAAAAAGTGTCCTCTGTATGAAGCTTTGGATGCAGTTAAGCGTCAGAGGCCGAAAAGGAGAAAATCATGGATGGCTCAAGCAGAAGACACAATAAGACAAGTACGCATGCTGAAAACATTGGGCGAGAAGAGGAGTGGGTCAGAGTACCAGAGGAAAAGTCTGACCTATGTAGGGTAATGATCACATTATGACAGGAGTGCAGGGAGTAGCTAGCGGGATATATTCAGGTTGAAGTCCAACAGTTTTTTAACGACAATTCTTGTCCTGGGGATCTGATTATCTATACAGATGGTTCTGTATTGAGAGGCAAGAAAAGTTCCTGGGGTTTCGTTGTGAAAGCCTATGGAGAATCTTTAGCACAGGACAACCTGGCTTATGATAACACGACATCTAGCATGAGAATGGAGGTGGAGGCGGTCCCTGCAGCTTGTAATGGACAATTAACAAGACACATCCACTTGTCGTAATTGTAACGGACTGAAAGCATGCTGGAAAAGGTGAAGACAGGATTGCTTGGAGTAGACTTGCAAGGTCAATTGTAGTGATCATACTTTGTGTGGCGTGGTGGGGAACGAACAGGCAGACAGACTGGCTAGATCTTCACCGCTGGGTGGCGAATTGATACATGACAAGGTAGGTGTGGTCAGAGCACTTCTGGGAACAAGCAACGAAGTCAGAAGAGAAACTATATTATTATGGGCTATAGAGAATGAAGAACCTGGGTGTTACCAGAGGGTTCGACCAGCACACTACGCTCAAAGGAAAGGAAAGACAGACTTACAACCAAACTACGACTGGCACCATTAGTAGTGTAACTCCAAGCTGGCTGCTGAAGATGGGGACGGAATGCCCTAAGTGCTGTGTGATTCTTAACTCAACTCAACTCAACATAGTCAATGACTGTGTTAATGTGTGACATAATACTGATTTAATAGGGGGATTACTGTCTCACACATTGCTATGTCAGACACAGTACTAAATTTGTGACTGTATTCCTGTCTGGGGGATGCTTGCCAACTAATTTCTGAAGAATGAACTTTACTATCTGGATGATTGTGAAGAATTAGAGATACAGCTAACGGTGATGGAGTTCACCATAGCGATCATTTTGAAATACCAATGCTAATTTCCTAATAGACAGGATTTCCTCGTTCATAAAGCCTGTTCTTTCCCTATTTCTCCTTGGTTGTGGTACAATTCCCTCAGTAAATAGCGCAATTCTTTTTTGTTCATAAACTATCATTTTAGCATGTTTAGGCTCTGCAAAGCCACACATTGCTTTAGTTTGTTTTATGTCGAAACACTCAGTCCCATTTCATTCTGTCCTCCTGTAGCTGGTCTTTGTAGATAATTGAAATAACAACTTGGTATCTTGTTGAAATTATTCTAACATGTGGTCTGTTATATTCAGATCAAGGATCTTCAGAATGATCACATAGTCCGGTTTGTGGGAGCATGCATAGATCCACCCAATCAGTGCATCATCACAGAGTACTGCCCTAAAGGAAGTTTGCAGGACGTACTAGAGAACGAAGAGATTAAGCTTGACTGGATGTTCAGATACTCCGTCATGCAAGACATTGTCAGGGTGAGTCATGGAAGGTGCTTACATGGTGAGTGAGTCATGGAAAGTATTGTCAGGGTGAGTGAGTCATGGAAAGTATTGACAGGGTGAGTGAGTCATGGAAGGTATAATCAATGTGAGTGAGTCATGCAAGGTATTGGAAGTGTGAGCGAGTCATGGAAGGTATTGTCAGTGTGAGTGAGTCATGGAAGGTACTGGAAGTGTGAGTGAGTCATGGAAGATATGGACAGGGTGAGCGAGTCATGGAAAGTATTGTCAGTGTGAGTGAGTCATGGAAGGTATTGTCAGTGTGAGCGAGTCATGGAAGGTATTGTCAGGGTGAGTGAGTCATGGAAAGTATTGTCAGGGTGAGTGAGTCATGGAAAGTATTGACAGGGTGAGTGAGTCATGGAAGGTATAATCAATGTGAGTGAGTCATGGAAGGTATTGTCAGTGTGAGCGAGTCATGGAAGGTATTGTCAGTGTTAGTGAGTCATGGAAGATATGGACAGGGTAAGTGAGTCATAGAAGATACTCACATGGCGAGCTAGTTATACCAGACATTATCAGGGTGAGTGAGTCATGCCAGATATTTCAGGGATATTGAGTTCTGCAAACTATTGTCGATGTAAGTGAGTTATGCCATACACACATTTAAATATTCGGATGTAACATTGTATTCTGGCAAGTGTCAAAATGTTTGTTGATCTCAATTTCATAATTTAAAATACGTGGGTCAGGCGTATCTAGGAATAAGTTTAATAATGTTAACAGTACTGAATGATAACCCAGCGTTGACAATTCTTAAAAAAAAAAAACATCATATACTGACAAGTTCTAATATTCAGAAAAACATATTATTTACCGACAAGTTTCCATACTCACAAAAACATTACATAGTGACAATTTTTAAAATTCAGGAGAAAAAACTCTCGATACTTACAATTTTCAATATTAAGGAGGAAAAAAAAACACTACATACTTACAAGTTTCAATATTCAGAAAAAAAGAGTATATAAACCATTATGTAATGACAGGTTTCGATACTCAGAAAAACATAAAATACTGACAATTATTAATTTTTAGAAAACAAAAACATTATATAATGAAAAAGTTTCGATATCAAGGGGGAAATTTAAGTAATGACAAGTTTCGATATTAAGGGGGAAATTTAGGTAATGACAAGTTTCGATATTAAGGGGGGAAATTAGGTAATGACAAGTTTCGATTTTAAGGGGGAAAATTAGGTAATGACAAGTTTCGATATTAAGGGGGAAAATTAGGTAATGACAAGTTTCGATATTAAGGGGGAAAATTAGGTAATGACAAGTTTCGATATTAAGGGGGAAATTTAGGTAATGACAAGTTTCGATATTAAGGGGGAAATTTAGGTAATGACAAGTTTCGATATTAAGGGGGAAAATTAGGTAATGACAAGTTTCGATATTAAGGGGGAAATTTAGGTAATGACAATTAAATAAACAAAACAAAAGACAATATGCTGACTGCTTAGGTACTGATCTAGTTGCATGCAGTGATAAGGAAAACATAGGCTGATACGTTTCATATCTAGATATAGAATATTCCAGCAAGTTGCCAAACTCGGCATTCTGATGTAATTAATCGTCTAGTGGCTCACATTTCAGAAACATAAACTCCTTTTCGCAGGGTATGACCTACTTACATGGCAGTGAGGTCAAGTCGCATGGAAACCTCAAATCTACCAACTGTGTGGTGGACAGCAGATTTGTTGTCAAAATTACAGATTTTGGTCTCCATCATCTTCGCAAAATAGAGATGGCAGTCTGGAAGAGAGTTTTGCACACTACCAACGTAAGTGTTGAACCCACTGTGTCACTTGTTCTGTGGATGTCTTGTTGCAGCTCTGCTAAACAAGTCACAGCAGGCAGTGCAACATGTGTGTTCCTTCCAGTCGTCTTTTATAATGCTAATATTTATGCTAACCGACACTTATCTGAAAACATGTCTCTAGGCAGAGAACTTCAGTATAAAAATATTTCTCTCCTTACTCTCCAAGGCAATCCTTTGATTTACTTAAGCTACAAATGTTGGTAAGATACTAAAAGTATGAGCCTAGAAATTATGTACTCATATTCGCATGTTTGCATTCTGCTGAATGTTTTGCTTGAATGCTATATTACCAGGAATGTTGTGGACAGCCCCTGAGCTTCTGCGAATGGCCAACCGGCCCAGTGAAGGGACTGTCAAGGGAGACGTCTACAGTTTTGCGATCATTTGCCAGGAAATCGTTTACAGAAGTGGAGTCTTCCATTTACAGAACCTGGACTTGAGCCCACAAGGTCATAGACATCATGTGTTTGTGTGTATTATATGAACTTTATACTATGAGTACTATACATGTTGTGACCACTAGAAAGATCTGTTTAAAAAAAAAAAAGAGAGAGAGAGAGAGAGAGAGAGAGAGAGAGAGAGAGAGAGAGAGAAACAACATACCAGACACTGAGGATGCATTGGTTACATAAGGTTAAATGAAAGGGAAGCCATTAGTCCTTAATTTAGTTGACGGCAATAGATAATACTTTAAACTCTCCTTTTCTGTATCAATGAAAAGTCACACAAAATGCTCTTCAATGTACAGACGTGTACAGACAACAACTAACAAAATCCGGAAGCTCGCACACGTGGTAAATATATATATACATAAGGCAGTCGTCAGAAATGACACCATCAACAATCCGCCATTACAAGCACAGTTTATCGTTGATTAAAGCAGACAGTTATGACAAACCAGCATCAGTCCAGCAATAATGCATAAGGTAATCAGCCAGTCTTGACTTTAAAAGGGTCACCAACCATCATCTGGCGAAAAGCATTCTACGCGCAGTCAACATCCCACAGTGTAGCACTGAGAATTCAGATCATTAGTTGCTCGCCGGAACCACAGATTTCAAGATCACAAACTGAGAAAATGTGACAGCAAACCGTTGCAGAAGCACACAATTCGCTAATAACCCGTCTATAAACCTGCACCTTTCTGCTATACTGGATTAGAAGTAAACAAAATAAACACTCTAAACGGATAATAAATTACATATATGGCTAGGCAGAGCTAGAAAAAGGGCTGAATCACGAGTGTAGCCACATCCGTCAGAAAGACAGTAGGCTTCTTACGTGTTCATTAAATGTTGTTGCACATGTCTTCTGGGCTTAACTGTAAACGAGACAGCCTTAAGTGAACATCATTAACCATTAATAGGAAATTATTCAATACATAATCATAGTATCATTTTCTTTTTGTTTTCATTTTACAGTTCTGTAAATTCAATCTCACTGAAATTAGTGTATAATCGATTCGTTTGATTGGCAGTCTGTTACGGTGAATGTATGTTGCTTTTAAATGCTATTTTAGTGGTTTCATTGGCTTTTCAGAAAGTAACATTTAACTGATGAGAGCTGGGACAGTAAATTATTTAAATACATACTTATATTTTCTCCTTTTTCTATTCATGTAAAGTTAAATGTTTCGTTATTCTGTTACTTAGAATAATGTATTGAACTCAGTAACATTTATTTTGCATTATGTTGTCACCAGTAGTTTCTGTTATTATTATAATTCCTATTATTATCATTTTATTATTATTTACAGAAATCATCGAAAAAGTACGTAATGCTGTGAAACCTTATTTCCGACCATCAATGGAGACGTTTGACTGTCCAACAGACGAACTGGCATATGTCATCCGGAAATGTTGGGCTGAAGACCCGGCAGACAGACCAGATTTTCAGATGCTGAAAGGTCAAATACGAAAATTAAACAGGTAAATAGAAGTATCACAATGTCCTAACAAAAATCAGCGTTGTCGGATCTATTCTTGATATTCTAGTCAAACAGCAAAATATCTATAGCACTTTGAAACGTAAATTCCATTTTGTATCACACTATTGGATCATGCGACATATAGTGCTAGACCAATACATTTGAGATCAATGGCAGTCAGTTAGTTATACTGTCAACATGACACAGGCCACCTTTTGTTTTCAGGCCATTTCGTGGCATCAATTTCAGGCCAGCTGGAGCTGGGAGTCACATAAGAACAGTTTGATTTGGTTCGAGCCCAAGACTCAGCATCGCCGGGGTGGCTTATTGGCCACCCAGTAGGCGACCCTGTCGCTGGTCAGATGATGGTGGGTCCTATCATCGCATCAACACTACAAGAGTCATTTTCAGTTTACTTGGGGGAGAGGGGTGGGGGGGGGGGGGGGGGAGGGGGGGCGGAGCATTTTTTTTAAAAGCCATAATACGGCAGGGGAAAAAAGCACAGGCTGTAATATAACCAAAAATTCCCCAGGTATGCTGGCTGAACGTTGTCTTTTTATTGATTTTTCTCGATAATGAACAATCAGTCAGTGAAACCCAATATTTTTTTTAAGGAAGGGGGGGGGAGGGGCGCAAACGACATAAAAATGCTAACACACGTCTCCGAAAGCACTTTACTCTTGTTTTTGTGTCGGTTGGGTAAATGTATGTGTGTAGTGTGTGTTGTGTGTAGGGTGTGTGGGTGGGCCGGTATGTGTGTGGGTGGGCGTGTGTGTGCGTGTGTGTGTGTGTGATAGTGCGTGTGTGTAGTGGGTGACTGCACATGTGTGTGGGTGTGCGTGCGTGTGTATGCGTGCGTGTGTGATATGTGTCTGCGCCTGTGTGTGGGTGTGCGTTTGTGGGTGTGTGCGTGCGTGTATGTGTGTGCGTATGTGTGCAAAATTTAACCTCAACTGACCCCAAACATTTGTTATTTAATTAAACCTTTGCTAAGTTTGTCTATCGTGTGTTGATAGATATTGCTATGTGCAATTCCAGAATGCACAGCTTCCAACTGCCTTTCAAAATATCGTTCGGTTATGTCTTCACCGTCTGATTATTTTGTTTGGTCTATCCAAGGGACCTTTTACAAGCTTTTTGTCATCTTCTTTTATATTGCTTTGTATCATTTAAAAATGTTCACTGCACAGTGTTTAATTTCATCTGCCTGTTTGTTTAAAGAAAAACAACTGCTTTCGTCACTTCATAAACTGTATGTAATATTCTGTACGTAATGCTGTCATTGTAAATATGAAAACCTGTACTGTTAGTCATTTCTTTTATTTCGCTTGGTCTATAGAGAAGGGGACAAAGGGAACATTCTTGACAATCTCTTATCAAGGATGGAGCAGTACGCCAACAACCTGGAAGCTCTTGTAGCCGAGAGAACCTCTGATTACTTGGAAGAAAAACGGAAGGCTGAAGATCTACTCTACAGCATGCTGCCCAAGTGAGTTCTGCTACTATCGATACTAAAAGAGAGTAGACAAAGTCAATTGATGCTGTCTGATGATGATCACTGAAGTTGTTTTACAATCAGTAAATACTTAATTAATTGTGAAGAAACAATCTCATTATACTGCTTTTATGAAAGAACACAATACAGCCAACATATAACTTTATATCAAAACAGTTTTACGGTCACCACCTTGTTCATTTTTAATTTGTTCTAAAGTATTAGGGTCATCATTTTCTTTTGCTCTTGTCGAGTAGACTAGTGTTAGCATTTTGTCATTACAAATAGTCAGAGCTGGATTTAGAATTTATAAGGCCCTGAGCTACTAAAAGCCCAGAGGCCGCAGAAATTTTAAATTACAACAGCCAGTCTACAAAAAATATGTGGAATATATACGCATTTTAAATATATGGATAATGGCAATATACTGTCGTTCAAATTTCAGCAAAAACGAAAATAAAAAACGCGACTGCAAAATGATATATAATGATAACAATAACTCCACACGGGAGCCTGCACTGCAGGGGTCCACCGGTCATCGGTAGAGAGACTCTTCGTCGACGATCGTTTGGGCCCATTACTTCCCTAGACAATCTCGGAAGGTGGGCCGACCTGGGTCATAAAGCCAGGTCCCGGTCTTCCCCTGCTGCACTTCATCGGACTCGACAAGACTTTGCTATATGTGTTGTGAGATTTGGTGTTATATTGTCACTGTGGTAGCAAATTGCATCAGTTGACTACCTTCACGACGCAGTTCAACTTTTTGCGGCCATCATTCTCACTGCCCGTTATAATAGTTGTGTCTTCCATAAATGCACGCAGTGGCGTCATCTAATGGTTTCCAAATCTCCAATCGTACGCACAGTATCGACGAAATCGTACAACCTATTGCTATGCTAACTTGGGGGTTCAATCCATCTCTTGGTAAATGTCGGAGTAGAGAAGCGCATGGCGAACTTTAAGAAGTATTGCTCGATCATTTCGTTGATCTGTGTCGCTTCGTGTAACATGTGAAGGACCTGCCACAATAGCTGATGGGATACCACCACATAGGCGTTAGCAAGATCCAACTACATCAGGTGCAACTGGGTTCTCTCTGCCTTAGCTCTTTGAGTACTGTCCCAGATCATGGTGGCGTGTTCAAGGCACCCTGGAACGACCGCCCTGGATTCCACCTTTCTGTACTGTCGTATCGATGTATTTGTTCGCCATCAAATAATTTGTTTGGGCACACAATTCTGCGAGAGTTCTCACGCCGTGTGCTTGCATTTAAAAACAACTTTATGTACAAAGACTGACTAGAGTTAACATTTACAATCAGTTAAAGTAAGAAGAAATGAAAAAATCAGTTTGGTGACAGATGGCACAACTGATGAAAGACGGGGGAGGCAAACATATACATACTGTCCTGCTTGCTTGGCCACGTGCATTAGCCAGGACACCAGCCCTGACATGATGCGCGATCATGTTGATCGTGCACGATGGCTAATCAATACCGAGTATGCTAACCGGCAGGGCACATGGTGATTATGATATTTCCACAGAGAGGATGAGCTGACTTCTTTCTTTTAACTGTGAAAAAAAAATGTGAAAAACAAACAAAAACAAAGTATGGGGTCCTATGGATTAGAAAGGTGATTCTCAGAAGATTCATGGACCCCCTCACTTATTTTAGCAGGCCTGCACAAACCCCACAGTTTTTACTTGTGGTATTTAATAAAGCTATATTAGAATGGGGTGAGTTGGGGGGGAGGGGGCGATGGTTGTGGGCTGTTATGATATCGTCCTGTAAATTAGTTGTAACAACTGGATTAGACGACACATGGTGTACTGAATAAACAAAACTCGGTATCTAAGGAAAGCATCTCTAGGCTTAATCAAAACACACGCACGCACGCACATATACACACACGCACACACACAGAGAATATATTCCAATACAATGTCACATGTGTTGGTTTGGAGGCCTCAGTAGCGCAGTGTCTACATACACTCTTACTTGTCCACCCCGAGGTGTTAGATTCGAATCTACATCTAGGCTAATAATTTTTTTTTTTTATATTTGACTGAAGTGCTGTGTCGACCTAGCCTAAAAAGCGATACATAGAAATGTCATGGGATATAAAGGCAGTCTATAAAAGTAGTCTAAATTTTTTTTTTTATGTGATGGTTTTGCACAGCAGTAAACGCAGTATTTGTCTATTTATGACATGTGTCCGTGATTGTTCTCTTTAGCTTCTGTTTATTACATGTGTTCGTGATTGTTTCTCTTTAGCTTCTGTTTTTTACATGTGTTCGTAATTGTTTCTCTTTAGCTTCTGTTTATTACATGTGTCCGTGATTGTTTCTCTTTATCTTCTGTGTATGACATGTATCCGTGATTGTTTCTCTTTAGCTTCTGTTTATTACATGTCCGTGATTGTTTCTCTTTAGCTTCTGTTTATGACATGTATCCGTGATTGTTTCTCTTTAGCTTCTGTTCATTACATGTCCATGATTGTTTCTCTTTAGCTTCTGTTTATGACATGTATCCGTGATTGTTTCTCTTAAGCTTCTGTTTATTACATGTCCGTGATTGTTTCTCTTTAGCTTCTGATTATTACATGTGTTCGTGATTCTTTCTCTTTAGCTGTTTTTTTATTACATGTGTTCGTGATTGTTTCTTTTTAGCTTCTGTTTATTACATGTATGTGATTGTTTCTCTTTAGCTTCTGTTTATGACATGTATCCGTGATTTTTTCACTTTAGCTTCTGTTTCAAGTTCTAGTACTACCGTTCTTCACTTAAATGTGATGTTTATAGCTGAAAATATGCACTACTTAAAATTAGTCCGCCTCTTTCTCGACATTCCTTGCGTATTTCCTGTCCTCTTCATTTTCTTCTTATTATGTATATTGATTGTATGTATGCGTTTGTTCCCATTTTTTATTTATTGTTTTACATTCATCAATAGGCTCAAAAGTCTGCAAGCAAAGTAATGTATCAGAGTAGCTGCAGACAAGAAGCATCTTCTGCATGATGCCCTGAGTAGAGTTAAGGGTCACAGACGGAAAAGAGGAAGGTCTTGGATGGCGCAAGCTAAAGACACAATTGGACAGGCTCGATAAATTTAAGCGAGGAGAGGAGTGGGTCAAAATGTCTGAGCAAGTTTCAGACCTGTGTAGGACTCTTATCGCTTTGGGTCATGAGTGCAGGGACTGACCAGCTGGCGCTGCAGATTCAGAAGCTCAACAAATGATTCATGACAATTCCCGCCCAAGTGATGTGATTGTATATTTAGACAGATGACTCTATTGAGGGGCAGACAAAGTGCATGGGAATTCATAGCAAAAGCAAATGGACGTCGCTTGGTTTAGAAAAGCTTAGCATATGATATCACAGTCTAGTTTGAGAATGGAGGTGGAGGCAGTCCGCTGGCTTAAGAATCAGCTGTACACACAAGCTGTGATTGTAACTGACTCTCAAAGCATGTTGAGAAAGGCAGAGACAGGCATGCTCCGTGTAGAGTGGCAAGCATCACTTCAGATGTCCTGGGTAGTTAACATTCTTTGAATATGTTCTCCAGGTCATACCGGTGTGTTGGGAAGTAAGCACGCAGATAGACTGACCGGTTCTGCACCGCTTGATGGTTAGCATGCATGACAGGCTCGATGTTGTGAAGGCTCTTTGGGAGCGATTGAACAATGCAGAGGCACAGAAAGGTCATTACGGTCTGGGCAGAATGGCCAGGAGGGGATCTGGCTGGCGCTAAACACTCGGGGAAAAGGCGAGACCGATGTACGATCAGACTGTTACTGGTGCCATCGGAAGTGGAACTCTTCGTTTGTTGCTGAAGATAGGGACGAAGCGCTTATGGGGATGCCCCGAGTGCTGTGATGTTGATTCAACATTCAACAAAAATCATCAGCATATTCCATAAGGCGTATTACCATACTCATTGTAAGCTGGCTGCAAAACTTCATGGTACAGAAGATACGTGAGGCACACTTCCCCACGTGATTATAGTACAGAAGATACGTGAGGCACACTTCCCCACGTGATTATAGTACAGAAGATACGTGAGGCACACTTCCCCACGTGATTATAGTACAGAAGATACGTGAGGCACACTTCCACACGTGATTATAGTACAGAAGATACGTGAGGCACACTTCCCCACGTGATTATAGTACAGAAGATACGTGAGGCACACTTCCCCACGTGATTATAGTACAGAAGATACGTGAGGCACACTTCCCCACGTGATTATAGTACAGAAGATACGTGAGGCACACTTCCCCACGTGATTATAGTACAGAAGATACGTGAGGCACACTTCCCCACGTGATTATAGTACAGAAGATACGTGAGGCACACTTCCACACGTGATTATAGTACAGAAGATACGTGAGGCACACTTCCCCACGTGATTATAGTACAGAAGATACGTGAGGCACACTTCCCCACGTGATTATAGTACAGAAGATACGTGAGGCACACTTCCACACGTGATTATAGTACAGAAGATACGTGAGGCACACTTCCCCACGTGATTATAGTACAGAAGATACGTGAGGCAAACTTTCCCGCATGACTATATTTGATTTTCTGAGTTTTCCCTGATCATTACTTTAAATTTACTGGGTTCTTGTTTTTTCCCCCTACGACTAGGTCGGTAGCAGGACACCTCATCAGAGGGGAAGCTGTCAATGCGGAAACATACGAACAAGTCACAATATACTTTTCTGACATCTGTGGGTTTACGGCACTTTCTGCTGAGAGCACCGCCATGCAGGTTAGTATCATCTCATTCATTCTTAATAATCCATGAGTCCGGTGTTGTTGTTGTTGTTGTTGTTTTTTTTTTGTCTTAAAGTATGAGCTACCCGCACCTCTTTCCCCAACCCCACATTCCACAATGTTTCCTTTAAAGCTTAATACAGTTTATTAAGGATCAACAGATAAAATGGTTTGGCCATCTGATCAGAATGCTTTACTACCACATAGAGCCACTTAGAAAAAGTGTAATGAGCACAGAACAAAATAAAGATAACAAAACAGATGGAACCACGGCATCAATGGCAGTTTGATATAAACGAAGTTTAACTTAAACAGCTAGTTGAACAGGGCACACAGTGCATCTTACAACCTTGCTTGTGTACTTGAGAAAGTGAGCTGGAAGGGGGAGATATTCTCGAGTTATAAATGTCAGTAGATTTTATTCAACTGTGCATCAACTGGACCTTAGCTCTGGAACACTAAATAAAACACAGTTATAGTCTGACATACAAGCACATACTCACCATATATATATATATATATATATACATACATCGACAAAAAATACAGAAGTATATATATTCTAACATACATACATACACACATATACACACACATACACACACGCACGCACAAACACACACACACATGTATATAAACACACACGCACATCCAAACACATGAAAAGAGATGTGGCTTTATATATTGGTGATGCTTTCTACATTGTCGATATTTTCTACATTCCTTTAATGTCTTTCATTGTTGTTGCTTGCTCAGTAATATGCATCACTGCTCTTTTTACTTTCAGGTTGTTGATTTCCTAAATGATCTGTACACTGCATTTGATACAGTGGTATCAAGATTTGATGTTTACAAGGTAAATGCAGTTGTAGTGCACACAGACTTGATTGGCACATGAGATATTTGTTTTACTCTTCTTCTATACTAGGACAAACTGAAGATACATCTGTAGCCGGACGGCAACAAGCTAGTAAATTCAGTTGGATTGACTCGTGGAAAAAATCTGGCATGCAGGAGGCCAGGAGTCTTGTACTTTGCTGTGCGCTCTCTCTCTCTCTCTCTCTCTCTCTCTCTTTCCCTCTCTCTCTCTGTCTATCTATCTCTCTCTCTCTCTCTCTCTCTGTGTGTGTGTGTGTGTGTGTGTGTGTGTGTGTCTTGTGCTCCAGTCAGTTGCCGGGTGTTTGTGATGTTGATCGCACATGGTCTCATCGCGGCACAGGTGCAATCGGCCAGGTCGAGACACATTGTCTGGTTAAGTGATTATGGCGGTGGTGTTTTCTATGGTTAGTTTCGCTTAGATATAAATTTTCTCTAGCAGTTAAACTGTAACCCTAGATTTATATTGTACATTCTAGTCTGGAGATAGATTGATTGCTGGTCACTGTAAGCGATTTACACATCTGGTGGTATGTTGAAGTTTAACGTACTTGTGAATGTGTTTCTATTTTTTCCATCACTGATGTAATTTTTTTTTAAACGTATGCTTTAATTATACTATTTCCTTTGTAACTGGTGATGATTAGCACTTAAATTCTGGTCGTGCACGTAGGTGGTTGTTAATGTAATGTTATCTATGAAGTATACATCAGTTCTGTTTCGTGAAATAAACAGATGTTGAATGCGATAATTAATATTCATTTGTTTTATTCAAGTTAGAATTTGTAGTCCGTGTACGTGGTTAGTCTAGATGTGTGTGTAGTTGGTCTAGGTGTATGTAGTCATATTTTGTTGTTGTGTAACTCACATATTCATCACCAGGCATCGATGAAATGTTTTGTAGCCCCTGCATAGAAGAACCCTTGTCTTTTCTTTACTTTTCCTGTTTTTGCTGTTCAACGAGAAACTACTACATTTTGACCTAGCCATATTTCTTTTTCCTCATCTACCTATTCTATGTTTTTTTTTTCTTTTCCTTTTTCCTTCTGGCACACATCTAACACTTAACTGTAAGACATGAACTGAAAGAACCCAGACAGACCCTGAACTGCTGTGAAAAGACAAACATTGTGAACACACCAAATTATACAGACTAGTCTTTGTCGGACATTCACATGTTGTGGGAGAAGCTAAAGGAAGAGAACAGATAACAAGTTTCAGCAACTTAAGAAAATGTGTGGTTACAAATTGCGATCTTATCCAGCCATCCTTTGGGATGATGGAGCCTCTTGAATTCTCAATGCGTGTCGCTGCTGCATTTCTATTATGTCTTTGCTGTGTAATATAGTGCTTCTTGATGTCAAATTCGGTGCTTCTATTCCATGTCCAGCGAGGTTTCCGTAGAGGCAAAGTTGGAAAAAGGACGGGGGGGGGGGGGGGGGGGGGGGGGGGCGAGGAATAGTCCGTACCAAAACATATTTGGTGGGGTACTCCAACTGACTGAGTACAGCTGCCTCACACTCTCGCCGTCTCGTCGTCCTGGGAGCCAATATTTACATGTTGCTGCATCTGAGCTGTTGTACGTGCCATGAGAGACGTCTAGTATTTTCTCTGTGACCTAGTCATACAGTATAAGCAAGCGCTAGGGAAGTTTAGTTGACTTGCTTACTTGTTTTAGCATCAGAGGAGGCCGAAAAAAATCGTTGGTCATGTTACGAGAAACACAGGACTGTGAGACTGAAGTCTTGTCTTCAGCTATGACCGTAATGAATATGAAGAAATCTTATTTGTTCTATATTGTGTTTTGAATGTGTATTAATTATATATCTGCACAGTCAAAAACTGTCTCTACGTATTATATGCTATCTTATTATTGTTTTCATTTCATGGATTACAAGTAAATGCTAACGTTTTACCTGCAGCTGCCAGCGATAATATCAGTTGTAACAGTCGTGATAATATGAATATGAAGAATTTGTATTTGTTATGTATTATGTTTCGAGCATATTAAAAGTGTACCTGTAGTGTCAAAAACTGTTCTGTGTGTATTATATGTTGTTTTATAAATTTTTCTTTCAACCTCTGACATACAACATCCAAAAATATCAGACTGGTATATTTACAGCAACACCAAGCAGTTATATTTACATTGCCGATATTCAAGTATTATTTTAATGAATGTCCACCTTCTGTACAGGTGGAAACTATAGGAGATGCTTACATGGTGGTCTCTGGCCTGCCTGTGAGAAATGGCAACCTCCATGCTCGCGAGATCGCCAGGATGTCCTTAGCTTTGCTCAAAGAAACTCACACAATCAAAGTCCGGCACAGACCCAACTATCAGCTCAAGCTCAGAATAGGCATGCACTCCGGTATGTCAACATGTGTGATTGTCTCCTTCGGGTGTTTGTCTTGTTCAGTCTGTTGAGTCTGTATTTGTCTTGTTCAGTCTGTTGAGTCTGTATTTGTCTTGTTCAGTCTGTTGAGTCTGGGTTTTTTTCGGACTAGGACATCAGTGATCCGAGATGGCAGAGTAGCCAGACGCTCACATGCTGGTCTAAAAATCTTAGATTTGAATCTTAACCAGTTGGTTGTTAAATTTTTCTTCAATTGCCCTTAGCTTCCAGGTGGACCCTAACTAAAATAGGTACAAGGTAATGTCATGGGAAATAAAGGCAGCCGGCGAGATGTTGACCACATCACCAATAAATTGGTCTGTGTTAAGTCTAGCACCAAGGGCCTGATGTGCCAGCGACGTGGTAGGGGCCCTTTGCTTCGCCGTTAGAGCTGGCAGCACAAACGCAGTACCTGCCGTAGACGTCAAATCACCCACCAAGTGCCGATTGGTCTATAAACTATAGGTCTATAGGTATATTCAATATGCCTCAAGGTGTACTCAAGAGTCTTTGACTCAGAAGGTTAAACAAATTATATGAGATTTTCAACTTCTGGATTGACATCAGTCTGCT